CAATTCATAGTGGAGCACGGAGCTCAGAAGCCTGGTAATAATTAAATCTATAAATCGAATGAGAAAACAAGATGCATTCAACATTGGAATCAATAAATGGAAAGAGTATTTCAAAGACTGCTTCTAGTAAAACAGAAACTTCCAAACATCACAAGAAGAAAAATTTGAGCAAGGGTATCTGACAATTAAAGATTTAGAAAAAGCACTTAGACAATGAAATCAATAAGGCACCAGGTCCGGAGATATTACCGGCTGAATTACGGAAATAATGTCCCTATAAACTGATCAAATGCTCAAACACATGTTTTCAGGTGCATGAATGAGAAAATCTCCTCAGTTGGGCGAACGTCTTATCTAACACCATCCATAAGAAAAGGATCTAGAAACAATGAAACAAAACTACAGAGGAATAGGCAGTTATTGGATCTTAGTAGACGTATAGCAAATATATACGAAATAAAAATAGAAGAATAAAAGGAAAAAAAGGAGAGAACAATTGTTTACTGCGGCAGGTCGGTCATAGAACATATATTTACATAAAAACAACTTATAGAAAATAGAACATGGAGAGTAGAGACGTTCATCTGGGTTTTCATTGATCTTCAGAAAGCGTATGCTAATGTACCGGTTGCTAGAGTATGGGAAGAAATGGATTGACTTCAAATCAGTGAAAACTTAATTGGAGCCACATAGAATCTATATAGAATAACACCTCTCAGATTAAGATCTACAGCAGGCTCTCGGATCCATTCCCAGTCAGCAAAAGGTCTTCGACAGGGTTGCTGTCTTTCTCCAACACTGTTAAAATATATCTGGCATCAAATTTAACAGCATGGGAGAAACAATGCAGGAGTAATGGGAATGACGATCGAGAGGATAAATTGTTTACGTTATATTTTGCTGATGACCAGGTAGTAATTGCAGAAGATGCAGACGATTTGTTCATGATCCGTAAACACCAATGAACACTTTTTAAAAGCAGGACTTAATATTAATATGGACAAATCTGAATAACCTGGCAGTTGGTAAAATGAAATAGATCTTCTTGTGGAAAAATGGAGGAAAAATGAAAGGGGTAAACAAATATAAATCCTTTGTGTACTTTTAACAATAAGGAAAAAGCCATGACGAAATTGAGAGCTGAGGAGAAACGTGACACGAAGTATAAAACTCTGTCTTATGGAACAAAACCATCACTACACACTACTAAAAGACGTCTTTACTCCTCGCTAGTTAAGATGTGTTACAACATACGGTTCCAGAAGTTTGGGAGATCGATAAAAGAACAAAAGGGAAGCTGCTGGCCTTGAAATGGACTACTGGCGTAGAAGCTCTGTTATAGCAGACGGACAGAATCAAGGAACGACGAGATAAGAAAAAAATGATGTAAAGAAATCTATCCTGACAATTAGAGAAAAAACAAATCGTCTGGTCGTCATGTTATGCGAATGACAGACGAAGATGGCCAAAACGATGTCTGAATGGGGTGCGACAGAAAGGACACGAAGAAGGAAGACCCCAGACTTGCATATTATGATGTATGTATATTATATATATATATATAATATATATATATAATATATATATTTTGATTTTCGAAACTCATGTTGGCAATTCGAAAACGCCTCGTGTTTACTAAGGAAGTTTTCCATTCGTACGTAAAATCTATTGTTTTTTAAATAAATAAATTGATAAAAGAGAAATTGGTCAATAATTTTGAATTTCATTTTTGTTGCCTTATTTAAGAAGCGGTTTAATCTTACCTGTTTTTAAAATATCTGGAAAAATTCCTGTGCATAAGGATACTTAAATATGTGAGATATCGGATGTATAATGACTGGCCGAATATTTATTTTGTAGTCGACCAATTATTTTGAGAATCCCATAGGAAGAAGTGTCGGAAACGAACACAAGTGTCTACAATTTTGGAGAAAACGTCTTATTCTGTAATTTGTGGCTGAAAACCTTCAGTAAGATCGGCAGCAATTCCCGAAAAGTATTGGTTAAAGAGACTTGCCACTATTGCCGGTTCGTTCACATTTCTATCGTTAGCTTTTAAAACATTATCTACAATGTTTCTAGTTGATTTGGTCGATTTTTTACTATATTCCACATTGCTTTTTTTTAATATTTGAGTTTAATGTATCTGATAATGTTTCAAGATCTTTGCCTGCCTTTTACCCAGCGCTGTCGGGACCCTGGTGAACCAAGGCGGGAAAAAATTAGAATGCTTATTTAAAACGTCGAATGTAACAAAAGAAAATTTGTAATATATATCAAAAAGCAATACACTTTTAGCCCTGTGAGTTAGTAAACTATGCAGACGTATAACCATATACACAAAAAGTTTCATATTTCACCGGTCACATGAAATCAACAGAAAAATAATTGGGCGTCATTGTTCTGTCCGACCTCCGTCTGTCTGGGGACAACGCTAGCGCCTATACTGTTCAGACGGCGTTTTCTGTTTTTTTGAAAATTGATATTCCTGCATCGATGTGGAGGAATTCGAGGCTCTGCGATTGTGAAATGGTTACGTCGATGTTTAGCAGCACTTTGCATTAAGACACACCATTTTCCAAAGGTTCTCAAAAATGGCTTCTATTTTTATGAAACATTGTTCTTCGATAGCAAAATCTTAAAACAACGGCGCAGATGTAATTTTCGTTGAAGTTCCTGTTTTTTCGACAATTTTTTCGGCGACTATCGTCAACTGCAATATCGAAGATTGAGATTTTTCTGAATACAATCTTTCTTGAAACATTTTGCGTGAAATATAAGCAATTTTTAAACATTTGTTTTCTCAAAAAAGACTCCATTTTGTTCCTCAAGGGAGGGGAAAAATAGTGCTGGTGCCATGTTCGCAACCGGTGCCTATTGCAAAATCAAACACGTATTTTGGAAAATTGCAAAAAATTAACACTGCAAAAATACAAAGTTGATGGTAGAGATTTTTGTCTAAAAGAAGTTTTAAAAACTAGACTTTTAGGTCATAAGTTTTTTTTAAAAAAAAACAAGTAGTTTTCTTTTAATTTCTGATTGTCATTTATAAAAATCAATTCTCGAAAACGGCCTCAAATTTAAAAAAAGAGTAAAATAGGGCCAGTCTCATTTTCGTTTAACTTTCTGCATTTTCGATCTTTGAAAGAACATTGTTGCATCTTCGTCAACGCATCCTTATTGGGCGTCGAGTGCTTGGCATAGAGTAATCCTCCGTTATTATTTTTGTCAAGACTCGTCCCGTTGCAGTCAGTGCCTTTTATTCGGCCAGGGGCCTGGAGCCATTAGATCACGGGCTTCCTAGACGTCATTCAACGAGGGGCCCGTGAAGTCTCGAATTCATTTAACTTGTTTGACTTCACAAAGCCTAGCAAAGAATTCGTCTGGGGACTCCAGTTGCGGTGCTAAAGTTGGAAAGTTGCTAGAAAATACGAGCTGTTTCGGCGCAGCTGTGTTTCGCTAAGCAGAGCAGTGGCAGTAGGGCGGCGCGCGGGGACGCGCTTTCCCTTGCGATTCCTAATGAAGGCGATGTGTGTCAACTAGTGGTCATACATCAGCACGTACTTTCTCGCCCGTAATTTGACGTAAATTTCGCTAAAAGTACACATTTTCGAAAAACGAAAATGACCGTATTTCGAATTCTATCTTTAAGGAACAGGTTTAATTGAGCAAAAAATCTCTATCTTCATTATTGCAGTTTTAGGAGCACGCCAGACTCCGAAATAATTTCGAACTTTTGCAATTTTCGGAAACTCAAAGTTTTTAACGGAGATGAGACCTGCACCGATTTCTAAGATTCCTGTACAATACACAACAACCAAATTTAATCAGAAGCGATGGAGTCACTTTGAAAATTTGGAAAGGGCGTCAAGTAAAGCACCGATAAAATTAAACATCGGTGTCAAATTCAAGAGGCCGCGACATCTGTCAGATCGATTGGAGAAAATGGGCTGAACAGTTGCAGCTAGCTAAGTTAGCAGTTGTTCTAAGACTGACAGACTCAGCCAGACAAAAGTTTTGCCGTCATTCGATTTGAAGGACCCACAAAACGTGGATTACAACGACGTAGAGGATTTTTTTTCTTAATTCAGCAACTACATTTATCATGAAGTCGTAGTGCGTGATCTGAGCTGTCCGGGTGACGCCGCGTCGCAGGCTGTGTTGCCCGGACAGCCCTCATCACGTACATTTATCGTGTTTCTCGTTAACAGGGCCCTGTCATAAGAGCTTTTCTGTCGAAAATTCCGATTTTTCCGCGCAGAATTTCATAACTATCTACTACGTAAGCGGTAACGGGAAAGTAAAATGCATGCTGACACCAAATCTGGTCGGGCTTAGCTTGCAATGCCATTTAAGTGAGGGAACATTTCATAATTTTTAAACAGAAATGTCTTGCACACTTTTCGAAATCTCCTACCGTTTCTGGGTTAGGGTAAACTGTTTAAATATGTCAAGTAAAGTTGATCTGAGGGTATGAAAACGGTCATTTGAAGCAAATGTTAGAAAAGTACCCCGCAATTCCATCTCAGAGTTTGATGCGATGTTGTCTGCCGAGTCCCTTATATCTCAAGGGAACTTCTTTGGAGTTGTAGCTTTATATGTGAAATGGTTTTGAGAAATAGCGGTTTTATAGTACGTCCATTACATTTTTGCAAGTTTTGGAAACAATACTTCATTCTCCGTTGTCATTAAACAATTGAAACTGAGATCATTGGTACATTTTTTTACTCTCTTCATTTAAACTAATATTAAGAAAAGTGATAACGGCGCCTCCTCACCCGGGTTGGTGCGAGGAGTCTCTGTTGAACGGTATTGAAGTCACGAGAGCCTCTCAAAGACACGAAAAGGCAGCGCGATATCGACTGCTAAGAGTATTTTCACAAATCAGCTTCTCTTGTGAGTCTCTCCGTTCGACTTCCTATCTATAATCTACAATACTCGCGCTGAAAACCAACACGGAAGCTGTAGATTGCATCGACTACTTGCCCTTTTGTTCTACAATGCCGGCCGCGCCTTTGCCCGCGCAGACTCATTTGAAGGCGATGCAATTGCGTCGTTTTACAGAGGAGGCTGCAGAAAAAATGTTTGACAATGCAGAATTGTTAGTCTGGGCGATTCTTCTTCAGATACATAGGATCAATGAAGAATTATTACACAAAAGTAATGGTGCTAAAACTGCATGTATTTTCACACAAAATTACGCGAAAAGTACTCAACTGTTCGAAAAAATATTCATAATGTTGTTCCAACATTTATCTTGAGGGAGCAGTTTCCATTATGGGAAAAAACCTCTATGTTTAATATTTTAATTATACGAAAACTCCGAAAAAATGGAACTTTTGCAACTTTCGAAAAATCAGGGTTTTTAACGAACATGAGATCTGCACCACTCTCTTCACACTATCAAACAGTAAAATTTAATCAAAAACGATGGGAGCGTTTTTTGAAAATGTCCGTGGAGCTTTATGTAAAGAAGCTCCCAAAATTGAAATATCGGTTTTGAATTCAAGGGGCCGCGACATCAGCCAGCTTGGGAATATCAATTTTGGGGAAAATTGAACGCTACCGGCTAAACCGTTCAGTCGCAGACGACGGACAGACAGACGTTTTGTCGTCATTCGATTTTTCGGTATCAAGGGAGCGGGAAAAACGCGTTACAAAATCCGCCGTGGATTAAACGTTGCCAATTCGCTGCCGGAACACTCGCCTGCCGCGCAGGTCTGAAGGTGCTCAGAAGCCACCTCAGGTCGCGAAACTTCCGCTGTGGACATTCCGCGTAGCATTGTTCAGACGAACGAACAGCCAGACGTTTTTTCATCATTCAAGTTTTCGATGTCAAGGACCCACAAAACATGGATTCTGGCACGAGTTAAAGAATTTCTTTTTCTAAATTTAGCGATTGGAGTTATCCAGTCGCTATCCAAGAGTTTTTCTGCCAAAAAATCGTCGTTTCTTCGCGCAGCATTACATAGATTTCTCTTTTCTGTACAAGTGGTACCGAGAAAGTAGAAAATTAGACATTTTCTGGGAATGTTCTTTTTATAATTTGCATTAATTTAAACCAGAAATCACTCGTTTCTTTCAAAAATATAATTTGACATTTTTTGAAGACCTGCATTTTGAGAACAGATTTTTTAAAAAAATGTACATTATCTTTTTAAAGAGCTGTTTTTGGAACGCGTTAGTTAAGGCAAAAATTAATATCTTCAGTGTTGTACTTTTGAGATGTTAACTTTCCACAATTTTCCAAAATACGGAGAGTTTGCTGAAAATGGGACTAGCACGATAGTATTTTTTGCCGCCTCAATATGTTTGAAGACAGAATTTAAACATAAAATTTGGAGCTGTTTCAGAGAAAAATTGTTTTAAAAAAATAAAACTGCCTATAGTTCACACAAAATTACGTGAAAACTACTCATATGAGAGTTGGAGCATCAGTCATGGCTAAGAGATGGATTTTGATGACCTAAAACATCGCCAGAAATGTTCACTAAAATACTCTTAAAATGTTTTTAAAATGCCCTAAAAGCAAAGATAAATGACGTAAAAAATGTTATGAAAATCAGTTGGGATGAACAATTCACGCTGTTGGATACGTTATTGATGTAATAGAGATTTCTTTTCGTTCAAGTGAAGTCAGCATTTCCTACTACCCTGGCTAACTTTTGGTTTGGACATTTCTTTTCCAGGAAATCGGTGTCTTTTGTTATCCGGGAATCGGCTGAACCGACAATAGCGCTGACTGGCGTCACAGGAACCTTAGATAACATACAACGACTGGTATCGCAATTTCTGAGCGAAGAAGTCGAATAGGCTATTGAGGAATCCTATAGAGAACGTTGTTGCATCTCGTAATTATTATTTGAAGCAAGTACCATTAAAATTATATTAAAATCGGTGTAATTAGCTAAAACTGCATTACAAATGACGGAGAAAATGACATATTAGCCGAAATTACGAAAAATGCAAACAAATGACCTATAAAAATCGGTATAAAATTATTTTCGAAACTAAACGGCATTATTTTAAAGTGAAAAAAAGGCATTTCATTAAAATCTGCCCCCTAGTCATGACCATTTTTGTGAGAACACGAACACGGATGGAAAATGTGGAATATACTCATGAAAGGACAAGGTACGAACTAAGTGCATGGACATTTAACGACACACCAAAATTGTGTTTCTCGTATTATTTAGGTAGTATTTGAAATTATAGTACCTGTTTCTTGTTCCAAAGGATTTTAGCATACACAAGTTCCCCACATGCCAAAAGCATTCCGTCCTCGTTCGACGGACCTGAATGGCGCGCTCTCAGAGGTCCTTGCTACCCGACCTCGCCAGAACGGAAGGGCACTCTCCCACAGACCATCGGAATTTCTCCCTTGCACAACGGCTATTTTGGGGCTGGAAACGGGTTACATTTATCTCGTACGGCGCCACTCAGACATCTGATTTTACGTTGCGCTCTGAGAGGCACAGAGCTGTTGTAAAGACGCATTAGTATAACATCTTTCTCGCGGCAAATAAAATTGTATGATGCGATAACATTTCTTTTAGGAAAAATGTTGTCAAGGCTTCTGCCTCAATCTACGTATTTTCGAAAAATTAAACATAAATGAACTAAAACATTATAAAGATTATTGCTGACAAAACACTTGAATGGACGCCTATAGAATTTCCCTTTTGACGAGGCTCTATCAAAATCTCTATCTATCACTGGCAAAAGAGATGTCGGATGAGCTAAGAAAAGGTGGCAATAATAATAATAATAATAATAATAATAATAATAATAATAATAATAATAATAATAATAATAATGATAACAATTATAGTAATGATAATGATGATAATGATAGTGATGATAGTGATAGTGATGATAGTGATGATGATGAAGATTATGATAGTGATGATGATGATGATGAAAAGGAAGAATATCGTGGACAGAACAGGTACGTGTGCCAACCCTTTGAAGTGAAAAAGAATGAATAAATGGATAGATAAATAAATGAATAAATAAGTAAGTAAACAAACAAAAACAAATGAACGAACAAACAAACGTAGGCCAGTAGATGTTGTAGTTATTAAATTGACCTAAGCTAAATATCCACATCCCGTTTATAATATGATTAGTATTTTTCCTGCCCCTCCTGAAATAATTAAAACAACAAAAAGAAGAGAATCGCGGCAGGAAATAGATGTTATGGTCAGATGCGTAGTGTGGTAATTTTCTGAGAAGGCTCTAGAACTGATTTAGTTATCATTAACTGCCATATCTCAAAATGACCATTATTGTCTAATGTCTCATGTATTATTATTATTATTATTATTATTATTATTATTATTATTATGGTACTCTAACTAATAAAATACTTTCTAGCAACACACCCCTGAAAGGAAGATGATACATTAAGAGATGTTTTTGAAAAGATTCGAGAATTTTTAGATTTTTTTTGTTATTTACGGCGGTAAACAAGCGCTTATATTCTCCGTAACCAACTATTTAAACAACGCTTTAAGAGCGCGTACATAGCAACAGCCATTAAAATGCTCCAGAGTCAATTGAAAATAATTTAGCGGACTCTCGGGTTTAGATTTTACCAGTGCTCACAAATCTTTTGATAAATATGTCCCTTTTGTTCCTATTGTCCTCTTCTCCTTTTGTCCCATTAGTCCCCCTTCCCGTTAATCCCCATTGTCCCATGTTCTCCCTTTGTCCCTTTTCCCTATCCCACTTTGTCCACGTGCCTCATTTTGTTTCCATGTCCATTTCGTCCACTTGTTCCAGTTTGTCCCATTTGCTCTAGTTTGTCCAATTGCCCCATATATTTTATTGTCCCTTTGTCTCCAGTGTCTAATTTGTCCCCTTTCCCCGTTGTGTCCCTTTCTTCCCCTTGTCCAATTTTGTCCCCATTCCCTCTTCGCCAACAACTTCTAAATTTAGAGTAACTCGGTGGCACAGAATGAAGTCGCTCGCCTTTCACCAAGGTGGTCCGGGTTCGATTCCCGGACAATCTCATGTGAAATTTGTTCCGACAAAGCGAGTTTGCGTGCTTCACAGGGCTGTGAAGCACTGGCAACCCCTGTGAAGTGTCCTAAATCCTTCCTAATTGTGGCCGCTGGGTAGTGACGCAGGAATGTGGGAGGCGCGTACGCGGAGACGCTACCTGGCGGTCCTCTGGGCAACGACGTACGGACTAACAAGACTATTAATAGTTACGGAGGATTACTCTAATAAATGTACGCTCAACGGCAAATAAAGTTTAGAAGACACGTTGCGTCGTGATAAAGACGTAACAAACGATGTTTTAAAAGCTCTATTACAGCGTATCTGCGCCTCGTGACAGGTACTGTGTATGCGCTGAAGGCTCTGAACGCTAGAGCCTTTCTCCTCTGACGAGGAAGTTCGCAATTAAGCGGAAGTTCAACTATAGAAGCCAGACATGAAACGTAATTGTGAATTTAAAAAAATAATTATCAATAAGCACATTATGAAGTAACGAGAAGTGTTTTCGTTTTTCATTAAATGTTTGGGTAGGCTTCGTCATGCAGCCTAAAAGGTAGCTACGCCACTGGTTATGACGGTCTCTACCAAATCTTTAAAACCTGAAGAATTTCAAAGACCGACAAGTTGAAATTATATAACACTATCATTAAACCAATGGTATTGTGCGATAGTGAAATGTGGACTGTAACAAAGAAAACAGCAAACATTCTTGCTGAGAGAAAGGCTGTTACGAAGAATATTTGGCCTGATGAAAGAAAATTAAATCTAGAGAAGTCGAACCAACGTATGAAGTATCGAAAAACTTAAAATACCCAAAATAGTTACATTATTAAGGCGAAGAAGAAGATAAAGATAATGTGGAAAGGATGTGCTGTTCCTTCCACTTCTATAATAAGGGGGAAGTTGTTAACGAAACGTCTTAATTTGTTTTAAAAATGTATAAAGGTAACGTCCAATGTACTTACAAAGTAACGAAGAAAAATAAAAAAAAACAATTCAAACAAATTTTCAATGTAGTATTATAGACATGTTTTTCGAACAGTTTCCAACTCTTCTTTGAAACATTCGAAGTAATTATCCAATCTTCCTTGACAGTTTGCTTTTCGTTTTCCTTGATAGTCACAAAAATATTAGAAAATGTTATTCTTGAGAAAGCTTCGTAAAGTTGTGTTCGTGAAAATACAGGACCGGGCAAGTACAACTCTATTCTTTGTAATGTTCGGAATTGAAATTACAATGCAATGAAGTATCGAGAAGCGCCAAACCAGCAAAAATATAATAGAATGTCCAAGAAGATCTCATCCTGTAGATTACGATGTGACGAACGTTCATTTGGGGCCTTTTATCTCAAGATTCCAGTTTGAAGGCCCAGAACGCTTTGTTTTGATACATAGAACTGCTGCCCGAGTATTGCGGGTTACATCGAACATTAATATATAGATGCAGTTTTTCAACAAACCCTTCTCGTTTTTAAAGTTAAATAGCAATTTGTCAAGTCTCCGTGAAATACCCTTTCTTTAGATACCTCATTTGTTACGATCGGCTGCATGTGAGAACAGCAAAACTCATCTAATATAGTAGATTAAAATGATTAAATATTTCAAAAATATTTGTGGATGTGACGACCTAATTAAAATTGCCCTTCCCACGAATACTTCCTGAATTGCCCTCCTGAAAATCGTACACGATCGTCAAACACATGTACGGCAAAATGTCGAAACTACAAAATCGCTACTTCTTTCCTTGATATTCATAGGCCTCATTCTCTGAGATTTGGATGGTCCTTGAAAAAGTGTGGCGTATTTTCATGAAAATAGTTAATAATAAAATCATAAATGAATTAACACAAAATCTTATTAACTATGGAATTCCTGAATGACTTCTAAACAAGAGAAACATCCATATTAATATAATTAATCTGTTCGCCTTTGCTTTATGAAGTGATACTTTGTTTAAATGTAGTTATTCCATTCAATAATTGAAAATATTTGTCTTTTTTTGCCATGAGAACGAATTAAACGTTATATTTGGATTTGAAATGTTTCCCATTTAACTACCTAAATAGTTTTTTATAGATGATTTGACAGAAAAAAATATGAAAATCCGGTCTCACCTTATAATTACAAAGTTCGCGCCATAAAATAATTTTAGATAGGATAGTTATATTTATAATTAACAACTATTAACAAAGTATTCTATATTGTATTCAATTTGATTTAAAAAACATATATTGAGCTTGAATTGATTTTAGACACACTTACATTTGCTGGAGTTTTAGCCTGTTATGATTCTTTGATTTCTTTGGAAATACAATTTAAGTGATATTCTTGCGTTAATCTAACTATAAATACAAACGGCCACATCAATATTTGCAAATTAATTTTTTTTATTGCAATAAGTTCTATTTTTGCATTGGAAATATAGGTATTACGGAAGTACTTCCAAACTAATGTGTAAAATAGAATAATTACGTATTCAATTGACATGTTTTATTTTCTCGCCGTTTCTGCAATTTAATCGTGAGAAAAGAAACCTCGTATTTGCTAAAGACTGCTTTTCCGTGGCTATGTTTTAAAGAACAATTTTGAGAAATGTTATTAATAAAATTTGCAAGTTCCATGGAAATTGACTATTGTGAAATTTCTGCGCATTTCATAAGTCAACCCTTCTCCCACCCTCCTGTTGACCCAATAATAGTCTTTGGCGAAGAAATACATATGGTGGATTGGGTCGTGTGTGACGTTCAGAGCGAAGTTCATTGATAAGTTTATCAGAGAAGTTGACCTCCTCTCGAGGTTTCTCAAAACGAAAATGTTGACTGTGTGTCGACAGAGATTGTATTGTAGCGTTCAAAGGTAAAGATAAATATATTTTAACCTCAGTGGTACGTCACTATCTTATCCCGTTGGGTTTATCGTTCAGAAGGATACTACAAAAACTATATTGATAGTCGCTGGGCATTGAACTGCAGGGTATCTTCCAAACAGCTGTTAATGTATTATATAATTTGATTTGATTGTGTTGTCCGAACTGAGCCAAATCTAGTAATGCACTTGTTTTCCAATCTTTTTGTGTACTGAATTGGTATGTCATAGTGTTGAATCATTGTATTTGGGATTTTTGTATGTGATAACTTCCATCATTAGTGACAAAAATTTGAGCATCAAAATGAAGAGTCATGGGTTTTTGAATATTAATTAGTATGTGTGACGCACTAAAAGTCTTGACAGTTGTGTACTCGATGTTGTGACATCTGTCATTATAATTAAATGTCAAAAATACACTATCATTTATAAGGCTGTTAAAATTTGTTGGAACTATGATAGGAACATACACACTTATATTCAGTTATGCTATCTTAATAGATCTGTGCAGATAATTCGGTATAAGCAACTCAATGGCTTGAAGGCAACATAACTTATTTTAATAATAGAATCCTTTTTTATTATTAGTTCTTGATACGAACAAAGCTTTTAACAGATTCATGGTACCAAAAATGTGACAATTATAACCTCTGCAATCGAACATCAGTTATTTTAAAAATTCTTCTGAATGTGAAAAGACCTTAGATTCATCATCACATCTAATGTTGTCTGCTCAGTGTCAATACAATCGTTTTGACTTTAGGCAGAAAATTGCGTATGTAATATTATTTATTAAAGCATTAAAAGCAGCTAATCAAAGTAACAATTCTGTGTGCAATATCTTTCTTCATTTTAAAGCCTTACTTAAGTGTTCCAGCGATATGTGAAAACAATATTAAGCAGTAGATCAAATTCTTAAATATTTGCATGTATTAATAAATATGAAAGGGATCTTTTCTATTGAACTAAAAAATATTTAGTAAAGATTTTGTGAAATGGTAAGTGTTGTGTATCCCTACCTATGCAGCATTGTGGCAGCACAAACCAGAAAATTTGCATAAAATTTTTAAAAATGTGTATTTAATTACTCAAAATATGTTGACATCTTGTTGAATCATCTTAGTAGTAAAAATTAAATGTAGACAGAATCAATAAGTAACTGAGTCAATGATTACATCTCAAAAATATCTAAATTGTATTAATGCAATACACTTTAAATTGTAATTTTTTTGTTTAAGTTGAGATGATATTTTTTGTCATGATGACTAACATAATAGAAATAGGGGCCCAGGAGTTGAATGAGAAAAATATACAGAGATCTTCTGCAATGGAAAACAAAAAAAATGAAGTTGATATTGTATATTGTGCACTATATTCACGTATGGTAATTTACTTAAACGTTGAATGATAAAATCCTTTTTTTCAGAGATTATTCTTTATATTGTTGTAATGTGTGGTGTGGAAGGAGATTATGCATGAGTGGGTATGGGTATACTTTTTGATTTGGGTTGTAGCTCTCCTTTAATTAGATTTAGCCTTCTAAACTGACACATATTTATAATTTCGGAAGTTTTCAGTGTATTTTGATTGTGATCATATAAGGATGGAAGAGAAAGTTATATTTTATAATTTAAAATGCCATATTAAAAGTGTTCTTTATTTTCAGGATTGGTGTTCGATCTTTGGGATCTGTTCTGCCAGATATAAAATTAGACAATTTTTCTGTGAAGAATGAGCCTGTATTAGGTAATATTACATTTTAAATAATCTTCAAAAGTATTTTCCTAAGGAGCAGATTTTGTTGACTTCTTCACTCTTAGTTGTCTCAGTGTTCTAATTTTGGAAATAGCAATAGTGGAATCAATCGGGATGTTATATTAAACTAATTTCCCATACGAGTTTTGAAGGTGTTTTCATT